GTCCCTACATGGTGACATTATGTAGGCATAGAGTATGCGTTAGTACGTTTGAATGTACTAAGTATGTGGGATGCAATGCAATGCTACAATAGATAGACATCATAGGAAAAATGCATAATCATACCCGATAGATAGCACATAAATGAAATGATGTATATAATGACGCTTACATAAAAATCATATTTAGTGGGACGTAGTACATGTGTGGTGAGTGACCATCAATATAGTATTTCCAAGGCCTACCACCCCCTTGGAGAGGCGAAAGAGGTACAAACCCCTCAATGTGGTTACCCGGGCCTACCACCCCCCGAGCTAGGGACCAAGGTACCAACCCCTCGATATGGTTATACGGGCCTACTACCCCCCGTACTAGGCAACCAAGGTACAAACCCCTCGATACGGTTATACGGGCCTACTACCCCCCGTACTAGGCAACCAAGGTACCAACCCCTTGATACGGTTACCCGGGCCTACAACCCCCCGAGCTAGGCTTGGTCGACTCACACACTATATAGAGAAAATCATATACATGTATCCATTTCATCATCATTTCAATACTTATATAATCATCCGACTCATAGGACGTACATTGGACCTTCCATTTCATAAGAATTCTATAAATGGCATTTTATCAAACATATGGTGGGCTACTTGTTCATGTAAATAAAATCATGTGTTTCAAGAGTACTAAGTCCAACCAATTTCAAAATCCATATAAAACAGCCCACCAACAACATACATATATATATACATATATAACAACCTTCATAATTTGATCATGGAGGCATGAAAACCATAAACATCATATAATCATTCCATTTCATGATAATATACAAAAATAGACCATAATAGGATGTGTAGTAATAATTCCATAATTCAAGAGTTCATAAATGATCATAAGGACCCATAAACTTGAAGTAAAATAGAGGATAAATGGTTGGACTTGTGGAAAGGAAGGTTTCCACAATCAAACCCACATACCTCAACTTTGGAGAATCCTTGATGAAGATTGGAATGGAGAATTGATGCTTGAGATTGAATCTTGAGTCCGGAATTAAAGCTTGGGATCCTTGAATTTGGTTGATGATCTTGGTGGAATTTTGGAGAGGGTTTAGAGAGAGTTTTTGGATGTTTGAGAAATGTTTTAGAGACTTGGAATGAACTAATGATATATAGGGAATATCATATGCCCTTTTGGAAAAAAAATTGTCCAACACTTAGAAAAATTAATGGGGCGGGTGAACAGTGTTTCGGCTTACTGGAAATGGCACTTTTCTGCCGGCGAGGTTTTACGAAAATGGTTATAACTCCTTCATCCTAACTCGGAATGAGGCGAAACAAATTGCGTTGGAAAGCTAACTCACAAAGCTTTAATTGTGATAGTTTGAGCTCCTTCCAGTTCCTTGTGTGCTGAGAGATATGCCCCTTTAAAGTTGACCCTCAAAATCGCATTTTTTGCGATTTTCGAATTTTGATACGGTTGTTCTAAAATTCGGGTTAGACTCATTTCCCACTCAATTTGACCCCCTGAATAAGAATATGAAGTCGAATTTCCGAAATGATGCACGGATTTTGAGATATATGGAAATTACAATTTTAGGTGTTTCCGAAGCACATTTTCGGGCATTTTTGGGGTCGTTTCAACATTGATCATGTAGATCAGGATAAATATTTTAAAATTAAATAATAAGTGTCCAACTTTTTTCATTGGTTGTGATGTTGATTTAATTCTTTTAATCAATGTGATTATTTTTGAAAGTGCCAAATTTGTATGTAAAGATAAGTGCCAGTCACATTTAGAAAGAATAGGCATAAAGTTTGAATTTTCTATTTGGTTTAAGTATTGTGAGAGAGCTTGAGAGTATCTGCAAGAGGGGAAAGTATGAGGTGCGCAGTTGCTTGTGTTGTTGATTTGTTATATAAATAAAGGGAAAGGTGGACTAAAATTGCTTAGTATGGGTATAGAAAGTAATCTGCACATATTAGGACATGCTATGACGTTACATAAATCTTGAGATTTAATTTTTTTTTATAGATAAAATGTTAAAACTCCAACGGTAGGAAGTTAACTTGAGTCGATACCATTGTTGCTATCGGTGGATAACCATGTGGATTGTCCAATTTATAACATGTTTACTCTGCATCATGGTTGGCATATTTCTTCCACCTGTAAATCCAGCTACCTACATGAGCATTATTTGGTGGAAGAAACATGTCAGCATCTTTCCTTTGTGTTCCAAAAGATGGATTCATAACCACTGTTTCAACAATCTGACCTACACATAGTGGAATATTAATGAGTCGAGAGAGAGGGTTTTTTTTTCGGGGATGAAAAGTGTGGTGAAAAAGATACCTCTCCATTTTAAGTTATTGATGTCACATTGAATAAATTTCATGTCTAGTTGCAGATGAAATATTTTAAGAAATGAAGGAAACACAAATTAGTACAAGTGAGATTATACATGAAAGGCTACATGTATCAATCAAAACCAATGTAAAAACACCCATTCTCTGACACATGTATTAGGCTATCCACTATGTTGTCTGATCCACCACATTGTCCAAGGCTTCAGAAAGTTATTTCATATGAAGCTATTTCAAAATATTCCTCTGCAAACTGATCTTTGTTCCTAATCTTAATAAAAGTAATATTTTTGTACAAATATTGATATCTAGTTTATTCACCTCGTCGTTTTTCAAGTCAAAGAGATAATGTTTAAAGTCAGGTGGTAATGGCCGGGAACCAAAATTCTTACCTCAGTCCTCTTTAAAATGCGGCCAACTGGCTCATCCAGGTTAGCAAACATACGAACTGAGTTTGCAAGACTTGAAATCTATAATTAGTTTCAACAAGATTACTAAAATAAGTATGTGATCTTGCAGTGAAAATTATTTACACGACACTATGTATCATAAGCGAGTAATGAGTCAAATATAATCAGGAGAACACCCAATGGAGATGGTGTTTTCTCCAATATGATTCCGTCAGCAAGCTGGATAAGGTTATAACATTCCAGAAATCAAGATTACATCGAAGAATGAATTCAAAGATAAATCAGTGATCAAATTTTTGAGTCATAAGTGGATGCTCTTTATCAGTATTCCCTAAAATTCCAACTTGGGAAAGCTTCTCCATGGTTAAAGATAAAATAGAGTGAAAAATAGTTGTCTATACCATTTGATTTTCCATAAAAGAACATTGTTATGTTTTTCAGGTGTACAACTACTGACAAAGACCCAGAGGACCAACGAAAATTTAGCTATTCACTAATATCATTTGTCGCTACTTTTAGGCTGCCTTTAAGCATAAAAAATGAGCTTCAAGTGCATGAAAGCCACTGCTTGGATTCCATTGAAGGAGTACTCGATAAAGGAAATGGGATAGATTGAAGAATATAATGGGGCATATACTATGTGGAAAGAGCACAACTCTATACGTACGGCTAGATAGCAAGCACCAAAGGAATGAATTGAACAATGTGGGGACTGATATAGGGGTGCATAAGAGAAGAAGAAGCAGATCCGATTTTGTTGACAAAGGCATCGTATGCAAAAAACCAAATAGATTAATAATAGAAGTTGTCTAAGTTTGGATAAAACCATACAAGTATGAATATCATCACTACGAACAACATGCGTTACTTATTAAACTAAACTTGAAATGGTAAAAGGACGAAACAACTTAACTAAGCTCAAAGGCAGGTAGTTATTATACTAAACTAAAAATTATAAAAGGACGAAACAACTAAACTTAGCTCAAACAACAGAAAAGAATCAGAAGCAACACTAATCCCTCTACTTCTGCAACTTATTTTTGTGTTGAACACTTATTCCTCGTCATTTATGACCAAACACGAATCCCTTTACTTCTTGACCTTATTTGTGTCTGCAACTCTTAATTCCTCATCATCTATGATTAGGTTTCTTCGTTTCCTACTCTTAGCACCATTAATGACATGTAGTTCATCCTCATGATCTTCCAAGTCAGTCAACAACACATCAATAGATACCTGATTGTTCTGCAAAAAGTAAATTTATCAACATATTTATTAACCATGTTGATTTTTAAATTGATTTGAAGTTGCATATTAAAACATTAAATGTAATTATCTCTTTGGTCAATCTGTTGGTTCCCTGATCTTTTGGGGTGGTTTCATTGTTGGATAAGTTCTTCCCCTAGAAGAAGAACAATAGGCAAAATAAATTACTAAGTAAGCGTAATTTGTAAATTAAAAACTCATAGTCTATATTGCAATACCTTTTCTTCTTTCCTTAGTTTGTATTGTACTTCCAAATTATCATCTGGAATTCAAAGCTTTGATATTGTAAAATTCTCAAGCCCTTCTTTCAAATTATAATGATTTAATCTCAGTTTAAAAATAAATTCTTTCTCGTAAAGGCTTTGGACTTGGACAGGCACATCATTGTTAGTCGTGATAAGCTTGTTGAACAACTTGTGAGTTGATGTATCAATGAGTTTCTCAGCCACAACACTAAATATGGTAAAAGTAGTGTCTCCAGTCCTATCTGTCACTTTTAGGTGTATCTTGTACCTATGTTTAGATAATAAGTTATATGGATTCACAACATATAAAAACCTAGTTCACAGTCCTTAACAAATCCTTACCTGACCCAAGGAACCTTGCAATTTTTATTGCAATTGTTGCATCGATAGATACTATTTATTGGTTCAATCTTCTTCGAACACACATTACATGAAATGTAGTACCAACCAAAATAGTTATCTATTTCTTTTATCTTTCTCTTCACGGTAACAATGTATTCCTACAGTTTTAAATAAATATCATGAAATAGCGTAACGATCCTGTTTAAATGGGAAACCAAAAATCCGATAAGCATAATAAGAAAAGAACCTGTAGTTCAGAACTCCATTCAGCCTCCAACAACTCCTTAATGTCCATACGGTTCAAAAACATCTCTTCCTCAATAGGAAGACTGTTAACATTAGAGCTTTCGATAACTTGAAGTTCTGTGGACATGGTGGAAAATTTTGGAGCCAAAGATCTTATGTAATCTATATCAAGATTTACATATATTTTGCTTGCATAGGTGGTGGAGAAGCTAACCTCACCTATTATCAATGTATGCGTTAAAAATAAAAGTATGGCATTTATTCGAACTGTTAGCAGGTAAATTCCTAGTATCTACAACTAAATCAGAAACAATTACCACGAAATTCTTTCACCGCTGTAGAAGTCACTATCACTATATATGGGCCAGCATCATTGTTATACAAATAAGGAGAAAACTTCTCCCCAAGTTCTTCCCATAAGGTAATTTTTGCTTTAGCCGAACTATGCAGACAAAACATAAATCAGTAATCAAATAATTGTATTGTTAGGAGATAACAAAGTAAAGCAACTTAAAATGAGATGAGTGACTTACTAATCTGTAAGAATGTGGGTATCCCTCTTCTTCCATTTTGAACCAACACTCTCGATATCACCAATTCCATATAAACAACCAACCACATCTACAAATATTGAAGAAGAAGATTCGGATGTAAGTGTTGTATTCCAATAGTTTAGGCAATTATTTTCCATTTACACATAAATAAACTACCAACCAACCACATCTATGATTATTGAAGATGAAGAATCGTATGTAAGACTCGTATTCAAAGAGTTTAGGGTATTATTAAACATTTACACATCACTCTGAGGTTAGAGCATCAATTTATAATGTGATAGGCACCGGTAAATTTCAATAGCTAGTTTAGCTTATTCTTTCTTTTCATTCTGTTTTATATTGATAGTGTTTCTCTTGAATATAATGTTTTTGAATGATGAAGTTCATCCTTTTTCAAAATTATCAATTTTATTAAGTATGTTTAGGAAATTACTGATATATCAAGAATAGATAATATACATTAGAAGGGAGTTGTCATATAGGACAGAAAGAGCAAACCTATATCAAGTTCGTGAATGTCATCAAACAGAATATAATGAGTTTATCTTAGTAATAAATTATGTAGCTACATATAACTAAAAATGTAATTGGTAAGAATTTAAATATAAATATAGACCTGATAAGACAGTGTTGTTGTTCACCCTTGAGTCAATCACATCTGGATTAATAAATTCAAAACCGTTTATTGAAATTTCAACAATATCTTCAGACAAAGTCTTGATTGCAGTTGAGGCAAAGAAAATGATTTTCAATGAGTTTTGAATAGGTCTATATCCCCTAATGCTTTCAACAACTTTGAAGTTCTTGATGATAAATACAGAACCTTCACTCAACATGTCTTTGAACCTGTTAACCTGAGTTTTCCTAATTATACCATGTATCAAATTACCCTGATAGAAGAATAAATTAGTAAGTAATTTGAGAATTCAGACTTCCAAAAATAATATGTAATTGGGAGAATGAATCAATGGAATACGTACCTTTTCATCAATAAAAATCATAGCCATACTGATCAGCTCACCATTTTTCTTGGGATTAATGGCATCCCACATTCTACAAAGTCTTACTCTTATTGTAAAATCATCTCAACCATTAACCAAGTTTGAAAGAAAAGAAGTAGTCATTGTAAAAACTCAATTAGAAGGAATAGAGACAATGCAAATTTGAATATGAGAATGATTCACTAACCATCTATATATATTACAAGAATAAGGGTTATAAAAGGGGAGAATAAATCAGCAGAGTAATTAGCAGAGCAATTATCACAAGATTAATACACAATTAAAGACATTACAGTTACAAATAAGGAAGATGAAGCAATGGATTTTATGGAAACGTGCCTCATAAGTTCTTGGGAGGAAGAAGCTCGACAGTAGATATAAAAAAAACGATTCTTGGGAGGGAGAAACTCAATAGTAATTGAGAACGTATGGATGTTAAAAAAAATGGCTGACCTGGGTCATTATAGTCCTGTATATTCAATTCGATCATTAAATTTGTGTACATGGGCTGGGCTTTACTGTAATTTAATATTATCTGTATTTAATAGGTGACATGTGGGCTGGAGCTAATCAATTATATTGTGGGGTAATTTTTATGTGATTTAATTATTTACCTATTATATGGTGGAAAAATTAGGAATCAATCCAGCTTCAGAACCATTCCATAGTAACATAAGTCATATGAGGTTAGAAAGTAGTACACATTAATGAGTTTATTGATTCCGTTGTTGATAGTTTTTTCAACATATCAATTCTGCAGGTCCTACAACTGTGAGTCCAATGTAGATAAATGATACAAACCAAATAAGTACGATATAAATGGTAATGAAATAATATTAATTGGTTCTTATCTAAAATTCCTTTAGTTATATAGTATTGTGTTAGTTCCTGATACTTCATCTACGTCATCAGTCTTCAAGTGTATACTTATTTGTCCCAAAACAGAGCACTGTTAGTTGAACAGTTATGAATTTGTACAGTAAAATAATATTATGGAATGAACTAAAGAAATACCTTGTTTCTATTTCAGCTTGAGGGCATATATTTTGAAATACTTCTGTGTAAACAATATTTTTAATGAACATAGGATCTTTCATGTCGTCGTCAACATTTAGTATAGTTAATCCTTGTCTTGTTGTTACTCAGGATAGTGCTACATATAATTGGCCATGAATGGATACTTTTTTAGGAAGATACAATCCAACATGGTTGAGAGACTGCCCTTGACTTTTATTAATTGTCATAGTGAAACACGGTGCTACAGGAACTTGTCGTCTGTTAAACTTGAATGGCCACTTTGAATCATTAGGAGACATAATAATTCTTGGTATTGTTGCTTTCGAGCCAATGTTCTTTTCGGAGATGATATTTGCGCTAATAGACCAGTTACCAAGATGTGTGACAATCAATCTTGTTCCATTGCATAGTCCTTCACTTTGATTTAGACTCCTGAGAAGCAGAACTGGAGTGCCTACTTTTAAGTGTACGACATGATTAGGAATTTTCGGAAATCTTAATCTGTTTAAAAATTATGTTGGGTACAACAGATCTTCATCATTAGTGTTGATACTTGCTTTACACACATTGTCTGAGCTAAAATATGTTCTTCCTTCTCCTGGAATCATTTGCATAATTGTATCATTCAATTCATGGACCATTTCATCTTTAGGAGTAAGTATTGCTCTTTCTTGCAAATATGTTGGGTCATTGTACTTCTGCAAGAGGGATGGGTAAACTGCCTCGATGATTGACCCGATTGGATCATTGGATGGCATTACACATATATCAGTAGGCACTTTAATAAGGTCATTGTCAACATCACTATAAAAGGATCCATCACCAATTTGTAACAACCATTTATCGAAAGTAGTAATTTCAGCGGCCTCAGAATCAGATACTCTTCCACAACAAAGTCGCATATTTTGTTTTAGCTCATAAACTGTAAAGAATGGCCACAAATATGAGGATTTGAGTGATGCATCTAGAGTATCAGCTCGTGTTCCTTTTGGAATCACTGGTAGTATTTGACGAAAATTACCACCAAATACGATTGTAAGGCCTCCAAATGGTTTATCTAAGATGTTTTCATATTTCACTCGGAGGATATCTCGCAAGGTCATATCTAAGGCTTCAAAACAAAATTTATTTGCCATTGGTGCTTCATCCCAAATAATTAAAGATGTTTTCAGAAGTGGTTCGACTAACTGACTTCCTTGTCTTATTTCACAAGTTGATTCTTCACTATTGTCCAAAGGAATATGAAATCGTGAATGTGCTGTCCTACCATTTGATAATAACAAAGCCGCTATTCCGGAAGTAGCAACTGGAAGAACTATTTTTTATTCTGATCTCAACTTGGAAATTATTGTATTCCATAAAAATGTCTTTCCGGTACCACCATGTCCATTTATAAAAAATAAGCGGCCTTGTTCATTTACAACTGATGTTATTATTGCTTCATAAGCTATCTCTTGGCAATCATTTAAGAGGGCGAATGATTTGTCATGTACTTTCTTTAAGCAATCTTTGTCATATTCTAGTTCCTCATTGATTAGACGATTCCCTATGTCATTCACCAAAGTAGAATCTGGAAGTGGAATTCCATGTATGTCTTTCAAACTTTTTCCCATCTTCATAAGTATGGTTTCTATCTCAAATAACATATATGATTCAAGTTGTTTTTCAGTTAACTGTAAATCTTCCAATTGAAATCTCTTTCGTTGTAATGATGTTATATCTTCTAATAAAATTTCATAGTTGCTCCTCCAAAGTTTGGATGAATCAGACACTTGGCAATGAATTAGTATTGTCACAAACAGATTTCTCAGCTTATTTCCTGATGCCCAATATGCAGCTTCAGCCAAGCAGTCATTCCATTCTTTATCATTCTCCAATAATCCCAATGCGTAACATGCCTCCTTATAAGTATCATACCGGACTCCATTAATTGTTCTTATGCTTTCAAAGGAAGTGCTTCCTTTCACAAAATTAAGTAGCATTCTCATGTAAAATCGTTTTCCACTTGCAGGATGCGCGAAGTAAATTCTACCAATTAACTTCCCCTTTTTTCTTCTAGTCCATATTTTACCTGTTGCATCCCAGACCCAACGCGTATCTGAATATGTTAGGTCTCGTGCATCCTCATATTCTTTGTTTGCCTCAAACCATTCCATGAATTTTGTTTTTACTATATCAGGTGTGTTTAGTATGCTTTCAGGACACCTTTCTTCTTGGAATACTATGGTGTTTTCTCCCTGTAAATGGAATGGCACACGCTCAACTGCTGGCTCTCTACGATGTATGTCAAATTTAAAGATCTTCCAGCAAGTTTCTGTAGTTGATATGTATCTACAATCTAGATATCTTTTGATCTCATCACATTCTGTGGTAGTATCTGAACATTCTAAATCGATTGTTGCTCTATCAGATCCCTTATTGACATATTTAAATAGATACTTCACCGATCTTGAGTAATTGCATAACTCGACATTTATATGTGCATCAAATTTGACAATCAAATTCCTGTTATAAGGGACGACATATTTGTTATCTAAAAATACATTATTTTTATTGACTTTTGTACCTGTGTTTCTTCTCCTATAAATTGGGAACCCATTTGCATCAAAAGTTGTTTGATTGTTGAACTTCTTTGGGAAACGCTTGCTGCACTTTCCTTGTTTAATACATGGCATCCTGGATTGAGGTCTCCACAAGGTCCATGCATCATGTGGTTCTTCACAACATTATAACCATCAAGATCGACGTCCATATCAGGGATTTTAGCTGTTATCATTGTGTTGATATGATCTATAGATGGACTTTTTAATGTGGGAAGCAAGAAGAGTAGTATATGTGTATGAGATAGTCCTCTTTTTTGAAACTTAATTGTTTATAAACCTACAGAGTTAATGGTATAATGTGTTTGTTAGGATGCCGAAAAAGTAAACATTTGTTTGTTCTTACCAAAATGTAAACGCTTTAATTAATAACTGATGCATTATGTTAGTATGTTTAAGTTTGAACTTACATGCGATTATTTTTCCAAAAGGTTGTTGCTTTTTCAGATCCTGCATCAGTTGGAATAACTTGATTTGGAACACTCTGCATACGATGTCCACCCTGTTTTCATCGCCAGATTGGTCTATTAAGCGAAGCATTTCATTTATTTCAGGTCACTTTGGATTGCATGTGAAAGTGAGGAACAAATCTGGATATCCAGCCCACCTACAAATTGCAATTGCATCTTGATAATTTTGTACCCGATAGCGAGGTCCTCCAGTGTGAGATGAAGGCAGGATAATTGTTTTTCCTACTAGTGAACAATCTGAATCACCACGAAGAATGGCATCCATTAAGCCAGAGTAAAGAGCAGCTCTGAGTTTTGTTTGATTATTCCGAATATAACGAAATCTTTCTTCCTCGATTGCCATGTAACCGTCAACAATGTATTGTTGTAATAGTCTACCAGCTAGTAAGAGAGTCTTACCCTCGTTAAGCCTTTGTTGTATTCTAAAGCAATAAAAGTCTCTCATTGATAATTTTTATTGCTTGTAAGTCTTGTTGATCACATCTGCCAAATTTATTCCAAGTCTATATCCATCTTCGCCATATGGGTGTATTAGTGGCTATGTCATAGACATAAAACTTGGGTGTAGATCAATAATTCTTTGAAGTCCATTTTTCCTATGCTCTACAATAATATCTCGCTGGAAATTTTCTTCCGTAAGATCACCCACTATTAATCCAACTACTTCAGAAGTTGTGGGTATATTATATTCCCGACCATCTGTTGTCCTGTTAGATAAGAGACGTAAGTGAAATTCACATTCATGATGCTCTTTATATCTATCCCAATCGAAATGTTTTTACCAATATATTACGCTCGTCCAACATTTAAGATAAACCATGGACAATTTTGGGATCAATGTCTCCTTGCAATAGACAATTCATTATGTTGTTTATCTCATTTTCAGTATCATATATATATATATATATATATAGCTGAGCAAACTGGGGTCTTTTACCAATTTCAGGCAATAAAGATCCTATACGATGATAATTCTGACCACTCATCCTGAAAACGTATGGCCCCTTTGAGCGATTGATAGATCCATCAACTCGGCCACCGATGGATGTAAATGCAAATATTGAGTATAAACCCTGATATTTTTTCGAAAATTCATACCTAGTTGTCCAGATTTTGTTCCCAAAAGATACTTGAGATAAGGTGTTGGTTCGCTCAATAAAGGAAGTTGTACACGACCTCCTCCCATACAACAAAATGAGAATATTAGTTTTGTTGTTTGTACTGTTTTTGTTGTCCATTCTTCATACCATAATAGAGCTCCACAATATTGGCACGTGAACTTTGGGGGGCCAAAATTCCAAGTTGTTGTGTAATGGGCTGTCAAATTTGAACATTTAAATATAAACAAAATCATTTTATAGGTAGTTAATGATTTATTTATTCAGTTTCTCATATGAACAATAAATGGGGATGTATATTAACATACCATTTTGATGAATAGGAACATGTCTGCTTGTAAAGTTTGTCAATTTTGCCAACTTTGCCAACTTTGTGAATCTATTCACAAAACGTATGAGCTGAATTATTATTTTTTTGGGATGGTTCTTGTATTGTTTTTCAATTAAAGCAACCTTTCCCTTCAATCTGAAATATTTGCATTTGGTGTTTTTGAGAGAGCCCGCTTCTTTATTCATTCGACTATACTCGCCTGTTGATGCATTTGCATTTTCTTTTTGTTTTAGCATCCGTTCTTGGGAAGCTAATTCTGGTAGTAGCTGCTGTAGGAGCTTAATTTTCATCGAAATATTCATCGAGCCACTGTATTCTTTAATGATAGCAGATAGCAATTTCATTGAACGTGTTATATTTGTTTTGGTAGAATATAATATTTTAGAAGTAGATATTTTGGCTATATCCAAATGTAATTTTTGATACAGTATACCCCGGTGCTATTGAATATGTGAGAGTACTTGTCGGAATAGAAGCTCATCTGAAAGGCAATATGTGTTCTAAAGAATATTATTCAAGTAGAGTAGGAATCAATATACAAACCACTGTAAATCAAAACACTCACCGAGATGATATCTAAGAAATTGAATGGATTGCAATGTGTGAATCTGATGTGCGTTAAGTTTTCTGAATTATTAAAAAAGTAAATAAACGTCTCCCCTTCCTTGAATGTGCACTTTGTTTAATTTGAAGATAAAAAAGAAATGTATGATCGAATGGTGGTAGAATTTGAATATGATGAATGAATGATTGAATGGTTGTATATTTTGAGTGTGATGAATTTGAATATGAATAGAGGGAAGATATGAAAATTGCATGGGCATTTAATAGGAGTGAGTTGTATTTGATTTGTGGATAAAATGTAACTGAATAAGATTGCGAGGAAGATTTGGGACTTGGCTGGTCATTTAATAGCATAGATCTACCAAATCATCTGGATGGGTAACTGATATTAGCTATAATGTTTCAGGTAATGCATACCTACGAATGTGATATGGAATGACTACGAAATGATGAAAATGTAGTTAATTCGTACATTCCCTTTAACCCAACTTGCACTGTGTGTAGAACTAATTGTCACCAGCTCAGCCCACCTTAACCGTTCTCCTTCTTCATAAGTAGGTGCAGTAGGTAATTTACAGACATACAAATTAGCATAATCGATTGCTTAATTTTACTTCTAAATATATATTACTTCTTCATCCACACTTTTTTCCAAAAAGGAGTTACAATCTCCCAACAATACTGTAAGATGAGAAATTGGCATTAAATGAAAACATGTCATCCATGTGATGCGCATAACTTGTAGACAGACATGGCTAACAAATTGTCTCATGTTGACATAACTGGATTCTCCATTTCTGTTAAATAACACATAGAAAATAAGGATGACATGATTAAATCAAACACAAACAACCAAAAAAGTTCTCAGAATTCTCTTGCAGTAGCTCATTTGATACATTCCTTCTTTTTAATAATACATATTAGAAGATTCTTTTTTGAAATACAACAATAGTCGTCTAGCTATATGGCATTAGTTACAGGACGTTGGCATACACATAATTCAAGAGCATCAATATTGAGTGCTTGATGAGAAAAAACTCATCACCTCTTTTA